TAAAAATATCTCAGATTTTGTTTTTCGTTTTGACCTAGGTCAAAGACAAAGTGACCTAAAAACTACGAAATTTTTTACATGTTGAGAAATGCTATTTAATGGCTACATATGTTTTAGAGAGCTATAAAAACGGCTAATTTGATTGACGATATTTAGAAGTACTTTAAATTGATTTTAGTTTTATACAGGGGTATTTAAATTTTTTAAGAAACATTTCCATTATCTTTATTATGTTTTACATTCTTTTAATTGCCACCCATGTCTCTGAGCCATACGGTGCGCAGATTATGTTTAATGTTACTTGTATTTGTGTATTTCAAATAAAGTCGATATGATCAATGCTTTTATTGCGGATGAAAATTTATATGACTTCATATGTTTTTCGGAGCACTGGCAAAGTGAAGAAAATCTACAATTAATTAGCATCTTCGGCTTTTCATTAGCTAATTTCTTTTGTAGGGCAAATAAGAAATAAGGCGGAATTGCAATTAATGTAAAAGAAAATCTTATGTATTCTTCTCTTAATCTAAATGAATATAATGTAGAGCAAAGTTCAGAGTTTTGTGCAATTTATGTACCCCCACTAAAAACCAATATTTTAACTGTGTACAGATCGGGTAAGGGTGACTTTAATTTGTTTTTGGTGAATTTTGAGAATGTTATAACATCCTTGCTTAGTAAAGCAGCCAAACTGATCATACTTAGTGATTTTAATATAAATTTTTAAATTGAATCTGACCCTTCTTTTCATATTCAAAATCTATTAACATCTTTCGGTCTAAAACTAACTATAAACGATTATATTAGAATCACATCCCAGTCCAGTAGTTGCATCGACAACATTATGACAAATTTTTCTGAAAATAACTACAGAGTGGGTGTATGTAAATCTTGTTTTTGTGACCATTGAGCTCAATTTTTATTTATTGACTCTGAGCATAAAGTTGTTGGCACTAATCAAACATTTCAACGGTTTATTACTTTTTATGGTTTACAGAAGCTTAAACGTGAGCTAGCTAGTACAAAGGTGGACTTTTTCTGTGATAATAAGGATCCTGATTTTTTGATAGTCTTTCTTACCAAGACTTCTTCTTCTTCTTGTGCCGTCTTCTAACGAAGGTTGGCGATCACTTCTTTAAACGCTTCTCGATCTTTTGCAACGTGAAATATCTGTTCAACACTGAGGTTAGTCCAATCCCTTTATCCCCACGCCTTTTCTTCCCTCTACTCTACCTTGCATGATGACTTGTAGCAGAGAGTATTTATCGTTTCGGAGTATGTGGCCCAGATACGATGTTTTTCTTATTTTAATTGTGTTCATAAGCTTTCTACCAAGACTTATAACAACTTAATCTTAAAGCATTTTCCACTAAAAGAATTACGACAAATTGCTGAAAAAACACCCGTGCAATGGTTTAATAATGAATTAAGGTTTTACAGATCTAATCTTTTTCTTATTAAACGCATTGCAGATGCCACTAAGGATCCCGATTTGTTCAAAGCGTATAAACAAGAAAAATTTGAATATTTACCAATTGCTAAAAAGTCAGCTTACTGTAATTTTATTACTAATTCCAATAATAAACCTAGACACTGCCGGAAAATAGTAAATTTCGAAAAAAACAACACAAGATTCGCGATTTCCGAATTGAATTTTCCAGAATTAAAAACTCTAATGATGATCAAACAAATTTTCACATCGATAACTTCACCTTGGCCCATTTTAAAACTCACAAAATAAGCTTTACAATCAGTATCACAAAATACATTTCACATTAATTGATAATTGTTTTGATGTCATTTTTCCATGGTTACCTCTGCTTTTAACATCATTAATGAAAAAATCAACTTATCCTGATGTAAGTGAATAAAAAGTCACGATTTAGCGAAACATTTTTTTCTTATTGTTAAAAATAAATAAAAAGTGTAAGGGGTAAAGATAAGGGTAATGTTTTTTAATAAATATTAATAAAAATATTATATTAATTAATAAATATGGAAACTTGTAGAAGTATGTAAATTATGATTGGTTTATGATAATCACCATAAACTGAAAGAGCTCTTGAAACACAAATTGAAAACCAACATCGTGTGATGAACTTTTATCACTAACGCCAAATCCGTATACTAAAAATACATATTCAGGAAATATTTGCGGAAGTATCTATTCTGTGGTACGTCTAGTAAAACAGAGGATGTTGACCTGATTGAAAACTGTGTTGTGGAGTGGATGACAGAATTTATGTTAATTCGACATATTTATTGAGAGTGAAAAAACTCTTTTTATATACATAAAACTTTTGTTGTAATGCTATATTAAACGTTCGATTGAAACGTAGATGTAGAAAAATTATAAAATGCTAATTTCTGCTCGATTTAAATAATAATCTATATATAACCAATAAATTATTTATACAAATACTTTTTATAAATACGTAATAATGGTAGAATTTGTAGCATTATAACTTGTTTATGGATTAACGAATAATTTTCTTTTGCAAATGACATTGGGAGTCCTAAAATTTTCCTTCCTGTCGATTTTTAAAATAGTATTTGATTAACTGTGATTATATTATTTTGCTTCCATTCTGTTCTCTGTTGTTTTTCTCTTCTTGTTCTTGTGATAATCGTGCCACTTCTATCGGAGATTGGAAATCATCAAGGATATCTTGATATGTTTTACAGCTGATCTAACTAAAGAGCTCATTCGTGGTCTGTCAAACCACTTTCTCAAATTTTGTAATCACAATTTGTCTCACTATTTCCATCTAATATTACTAGAACCATTTACTCGACAGTATCACCATATCTGGAAGCTTACAATATTTTTTACGTCGTTCTGTTTAAGGGTCCAGGCCTCTACTTCGTATAATTGGTTGTTAAATACATAGCCACTCAACATTCTTAATCGTAGAGAGATGCTTATGTCCCTATTGCAAAATAATTTTTTTAACTTGGTAAATTTCCATAGATCTTTTTTTTTTCACTGGTTCTTTCTCCATTTTTTTGTATATTTCTGTTCTAGTTTTCGAAGCATATAAGATAGATACTCATCTTGAGCCGTTACCACTTGGTCATCTGCAAAACTTATTGTGTTCAAAAAGTCATCTCCGATTGATATTCCTATACCTTCACATTTTCTTACCCTTTTGTAGTCTTAAATTCTTTCGAGTCTTATATTACCGGTTTTAAGTCTTACCCTGTTGTTATTGTATAGGTTTTTTACAGCTTCTATTAATCCCGTGAGTTGTTCCGATTTTCCTCCTCGATTTCCATAATTTTTTTTTCTGAAAACCGTGTCAGACGCCGGCGAATGTCATGTGTACTGCTCTATTTTTTGCCATTCTTTTATCGATTAGTTGTTGGACTGTATATATGTTGTCTATGTAGGACTTTCCTGCAGTAAATCCTGCCTGCCGTTCATCTCAGATAATATTCGAGAAAGATTTTTCTTTTAGTGTTTTCTTTGAGTATTTCCCCATATAACCCTCCCATACGTGCAGTCACACTAATGTTCCTGTAGTTTTCGCGTTTCTTCTGATATCCTTTTCTTCTTAATTATCATAAGCTTTGTCTTCTTAATGTTTATATTGAGTCCATATTGTTCACAGTAAAACGTGATTTTGTTCAAGAACTTTTAGGTCTTCTAATTTGTCCGCAAATACTATGGTGTCATTTGCATATCTGATGTTGCTAAGCCGGTAACCATTTAGTAGAATATCTTTTTTAGTTTTGTGCAAAGCTTCGATAAATATTCTTTCAGAGTACAGATTGAAGATTAGAGAACACAAAATACAGCCTTGCTTCACTCCACGCATGATTTTCACATAGTCAGTGTATTCACCTTCAACTATGAGATTTGCTGTCTGATTCCAGTAAAGATTTCTAATTATTTTCAGATCTTGGTTGTTAATTTCTGCTTCTTTTAGTATTTCCATCATCTTGGCGTGCTGTACTTGATCAAACGCTTTCTCGTAATCAACCAGAGACATGCAACTCCTGGTTGGTATCAGTATGCTGTTTCTGTTTCTCTGCTACATTCTTTTAATTAATTTAAACTATTCTTCGTGGTTCCACTGATTTTTTCTTCTTTAGAGTTCTTATGTCATTCTTGACTTCGCTTAATTGTTAGCTCAATCTGTGCTACATTTTGATTTCGTCGTTGTTCATGTTGTGTGTTTATCTTTAATGAAATGTGGGCGGTTTTCTATGAGTAGTTTTTTATAGTATTCTTCCCCTCGTCTTATTTTCTCCTTTGCATACTGTTTTTTTTTTAAACAGAGTATAAAACAAAAATGTAGTCGAATATCTTGCATTTTCCTTAAACCTAAAATAACTTTTAACATTCACCTCGTATCATACCTACACAAAACATATGTACTTATACAAAAAACTAGTACACAAGCTTTTTAAGAATTGTAGTTTTTCTACAATTATTTCGTTATCGTACTAAAGCCTATTTTCGGCACTTTACGATGGCGTCTAGCAAGGGGTAAGCATACAATATTAATTTAATATATTTCAAAAGAACGTTCGATTCATAAATTGTGATTTTGGATAGACGCTTATAAGCGTCTATATTCTTTGGTTTAAGCCTATCTAATTTACTTAAAATTTTTACTAGAGCTTTTAAGAACGTATATATTATGTATTTAAGAAAATAATTTGTTTTTACCTTAAATACTTTTTGCAGTTTTTTTATGTAATAACAATTTATTTGTACATGATTTAACTTTTTTATATCCAATGTCTGTAGGTACAATATTAATCCTTGTCTGGTAATTTTTTCACTTTTTGCGATTGTTGAAAAAGAAAACAAAAGCAAAAATTCCTTTTGGTACATAGACTCTTTTTTTTCATAGTTTTTTATAAGTTTTGCAGTAATGTCCTTTCCAATATTAATCTTTGGTCCATGGATATTTTACTTTTCTGCAATTTTTGTATAATGCAAATTAATATTTTTCTATTTGTTTATACATATAATTTTCTTCTATTTGTAGAGAGGATAAGACTATATCGTTGGAGACAACGATGAGAAGGGGTGCCTTTGCCAACCAGTTGAAGAAGCTGGAGACCGTGTACATAATTCCCAAGCTGCCGCACAGCAGGATCTACCCACCGCCAGCACCTGCCAAGAAGCCCGTGGAGAAAAGTTCGGAGGAGCTGGAAACGGACGAGAGCACATCATCGGCGGACTCGAAGAAGATCGATAACGAACCACCAGCGGAGAAGAACGGGAATCAAACGACTGATAAATTAGCGAATAAGCTGAAATCTTTGACGATGGTATCGACGAACGACGACTTTATCATGGTAGACTTGGTAATTTTTATTTTTTTGCAAAACACTGCATGTGCTTAGGGGCGTTTTAAGTTACAGTATTGTGCGAATTAATGAAATCATAGGCTGTTTTACTGAAAAAAACAGTTTATTTAGTAAAAAATTATATTTTGACAAAACTATAAAGGTAAACTTACATCATTCAGTAGGAAATATGTCCCCCTTTGGCAGCAATTACTGCTTTTACCCGTTTTGGCATAGATTCTATGAGTTTCTGGCAGTTGTCAGATATCCTTTCATCTCGATACCAAACCTGAATGGCCGCTTCTATCATTTTTGTGTTAGTGGTACAGTCGATTTTTCGCAGTCTAGCTTTGCAAATGGCCCATAAATTTTCAATGGGGTTGAGGTCGGACGAATTACCGGGCCAATCTAAAACATTAATCTTCTTATTTTTGAAAAATGTCATCATTTCCTTTGATTTGTGACAGGGAGCAGAGTCCTGTTGAAGAATCGCTCCTCCTTGGGGTTGACATTTTTGAAGTTGTTTGTCCAAATACTTTTCCAACATGGATTTGTATTTTTGGCTGTTCCTCATGCCTTCAATTGGCACCACAGATCCAACCCCCAATGTATGAAAAATATCCCCAAAAACATTTTCTTGACTGGATGTTTTACGGTTTTATCAATATGAGATGGTGTAAGCTTTTCATTGTCAGACTTCCTGACGAATTTCGACCGCTGTCCCTGAACTATAAAGTGGGTTTCATCTGGAAATAGGACTTTTTTCCAGTCGCCTACAGTCCAATTAAAGTATTTTTTGGTCCACATTAGCCTTTGTTTCTTCATTCGTTCAGTTAGAAGCTGTTTTTTCTGTGGACGAATTGCCCTTCTACCATTCTCCAAAAGTCTTCTACGAACGGTTGAGTCATGAATCACTATAGCTGATGCTGCTAAATCTTGTTGTAGGTCTTGGCTTGATTTTCTTGGGTCCAATTTGCTCTTTCGAAGTAAAAATCTATCATCTGCTGGTGTTGTTTTTCTCTTTCTTCCACATTTTCCTAACCTTTTCACATCCACTGATCCCGTTTCTCGTTTACGCTTGAAAATTTTGCTTACCACCCCCTGACTCACTCCACACGTTCTAGCAACGTGACAATCACTCGTGTGATTGTCACGTTGTGTTCACTCAACGTGACAATCTTTTCACGCTTCCTAGGCATAATATCCATGTTGGAATAAAACCAAAAACAACACAAAATAGTACAAAAACCCCCAAAACAACACAAGCTTGGTAAGAAATGACCTAAAACACACTCAAACACACCAACACACAGTAAGGTTATGTTTTCAATGCTTGGTCAGCTGTCAACTGTGTAGGTAGTGTTGCCAACTGTGAATTTAAAAAAAAATCACAGTGATTTCATTAATTCGCACAATACTGTACTAACTATCATTTTTAATAACATTACAGACTATTTTAATCACTGCTACTTTGTCATTAGCGGAGTAGCAACTGGATTTTCGTACTTGTACAATTTGTTTAAGTTTTCTTTGTATTTTATCGAATAAAGACCCGCGGAAGTATTTAAATTTTAAGCTATTGTCCTCGGTGACTCATTTTTCACAATATCCATCCTTGCCATCACCTGAAATACCGTAATGTCGTTATTTCTTCATTAGTGCACCTTTCGTTGCTTCATTTTGGTCGTCAACTTCAAGGGTTGAACCCTTTCGTTTAATATCGTTTTCTCTCCTATTCGTTTGGAAGTAGATCTTCAAATATACTCTTAATATTTTTGTATGTCAACTTCTTTTGGTTGTGGTCTAACTCCATATATATGTCGGGATAGTTTTTTGCATTCGGAATACTTCACTATTCAGAACAAATCAATTTGATTTCTTATAACTCTTTTCTCGTTACTTTGAAGTGATTTCTAGATACAGCTATTTCCTAAAAAACTGATAGGACTATTAGTAAGATTTGATCATGGACGTATAAACACAGATGGACTCAGTTATTTACATAAAATTGTGAAGTCAAAATTATTTGAATAGGTCACATTCTGAGCACCTTCAACTGTTGTCACGTTTTGTTTTAAAATTTCTTATTCGCGAGTCGCTGAAAATATTACTCCGTATTTTATACTCTACAGGTGCTATCAAACCAAAATAATAATTTATTGGTTATATTAATATATTTAATTGTAATCAAAATATCAAGTCTGTACATAGTGTGCATTATCATTTAATAATAGCGTATAATAGATATCAATCAATTATTTTATATGTAGAAGCATTGAAAACTATTTATAAATGGCAACGGTTGTTTACATTTCTCTGTCTTATGGATATACGTCAAACTTCAAATGCTGTTCCATGTTTGTTTACTTTTTACAGTAAATGAGGAAAAAGTTATTTTTCGATATTTTGGCTGTATTTTGAGTGATATTTGTGAAAAGTGAAATAAAATAAACGAAATATTTACATCCCGATCTCTCATTTCATTTGTAAGTACATACAATTTACATTATTTAAGATGAGGAAATGAGGAAGCGTGTTTGTTTACATTTTAATAGGCGTACCATTGGGTTTATTCATGTTCATTAATGTATTGAATAAGATATGAGTTCATGAAATTAGTAGACATTTATAAATTGTAAGTAGACATCATCTGATTAAAAAAGATCTGTTTAGTACCTTTTTAATTTAATATTTCTCATGGATACAAATAAATTAGTTAAATGAATAAAACTCATTTATTTTTCTATGTAGGTTTCCAAATAATATTGTCGATCGAACTATTTGGGTAGCAAATTAAGGAGAAAACATAAAGATTTTTTATTGTAGCATTATTTTGATACTATTAAAAAATTAACTTGAATTCAACTATATTTAATTGTATTAATTTTAAAGCAAATAAGATTATATTTTAATTTTTCTATAAAGACGTGATTTGTTTATAGTTAAACTCTCGTTTTTTTTTAATTCTTTGAACGTGTTTTTTATACATTATTACTACTTCCAACTTTTAAAATCTCAATAATTACCCGCGAGTAAAAATTCAAGCACGCTTATGCTCATTGCGGAAGCATCATATTCTATCGAAGCTTCAAAACATTGTGTGTTAAAGGTATCTTATTGCTGTGTCCATCTATGTTTATACGTCCATGGATTTGATCATGTTTAGCAGTGTATTTGATTGGTCTGACATATTATATTTATTATGACAGACAAATAATAAAATAAACAAACAACAAAAAATTGATTACATAATGTTAATTCATAAATTGTAATAATTATTAAGGAATAAATTTTGATATTATTTTGAATTTTTGTATTTTATAAAGAGTATATAAATGATAGTTTTACATAAAATAGGGCTGTTGTGATCATTTTTATTATTCTTCTTCTTCTAATGTCGCTACAATTCTTTGTGAGTCTTGACCTGCTTCTGCAATGTTCTTCCATTCTGCCCTGTTGGACACTTTCCTTCGCCACTGCCTGATATTCATGGTTTTAAGATCCCTCTCTGAGTCGTTTATCTATCTTTTACGGGACCTTCCTCTGACCTGCTTCTGCAATGTTCTTCCATTCTGCCCTGTTGGACACTTTCCTTCGCCACTGCCTGATATTCATGGTTTTAAGATCCCTCTCTGAGTCGTTTATCCATCTTTTACGGGACCTTCCTCTTGTTCTGTTTCCTTGAGGCTTTCATCTTTGAACTACTTTTACAGCTCGATTATCTGGCATTCTTTCTAGGTGACCAAGCCAGTTTAGTCTATCTCCATTAGTTCATCCAGCTCGTGGTTCATTTTAATTCTCCACGAACCATCGCTGCATTGGGTTGGTCCAAATATCTTCCTTAGTATTTTGCGCTCAACTATTCTCAGTTGATTTTCATCAGTGGTTGAGAGAGTCCATGTTTCACATCCATATGTGACCACTGGTCTAATTACTGTTTTGTAGATTCTGAGCTTAGACTCAGGATTGAGTAAATTACTTTTCATTAAGTCTTTGTATGCATAAAAGCACTTATTACCACTAAGAATCTGGAAAAAAAAGGAATTCAGCCAGTATATTTTCAGAGTCTGGAGTTTCTCTGTGCTTCAATTTGTTAATTGCTTGCAGTTTCATCTATTTTCGGGTCCTCTACCGGTAGGTCCACCCCAAAATATATATTTTCTCCATGTTCTTCCTCTTGCATGTATGTTTAGTAATATCTTGAAGTCTTGAAATATTCTTGCCATGTTTGGAGCAGTTCTTTTTTATTTACATACACGCATCTAGGTCTGAAGCCTTTATTTTCGTTTGACACTGATTTGTAAAATGCTCGACTATTTGACTGTTGCCTATTCCTTTCCATTTCTTCATATTTCTGTTGTTCATACTTCCTTTTTTTCTCTTTAATTAATTTTCTTGTTTCTCGGCGTGAAGTTGCATAGTTTTCTTCCCTTTCTGCTGTTCCTTGTTGAAGCATAATGTTTCGCTTTATCTATCTGTCGTGTAGTTTTTCTTGACATTCTCTATCAAACTATTTCCTTGTTCTCTTCTTGCTTTTTCCTGTTATTAGTTCTGCTGACTCCGTAATTGATTTTTCCATTTGTTGCCAGAGCCTTTCGACATCATTGCTCTGGTCTACTGTATATAGCTACTGTTTAATTTCTTGTTTGTAATTTTCTCGGATTTTCTCATTTTGCATTTTCTCGATGTTCCACTGTCCCAATGCTTCGTTGGCCTTAGGTTTCTCTGAAGATTTTCTCAGGTGCCTTGAAGGCAACTGGTGTGCACAATATTTTGACGGTGGTTGTTAGATCCTGCATTGTGATGGCTTGAATTTATACTATCGATTCACCATATCGCTGCGGGAGCGATGAAAAGACCAAAAGTTTGGTTGATTCGGTGTGCTTTTTTTTCTCTATCATTCTGCTATGTTTAATTATTTCGAACGTCTTCTCAAATTTCCCAGATTTGTTTAGAAAATTCGCGCCAACTACGCAATTTTTTTAACGGAATTGACTACTATATTTAACAAAATTACA